TGAATTGATTCATTGCTCAAACTCAACAATCTAATTTAAATCTATAATCATTAGGTCAAAAGAATATTAGCAGGGCGTGAGACGAGGCGTTTTATTTAGCATAGGGTAATACCGTTTTACTTAGTATAGGGTGAGGCATAAGCCTCACGACGTGGGGGCGTAAGCCCTATAGATTTTTAAATTTATAATTTATAATATATGGTATAATATTATAATAATATAAAATTACAAAAATACATCATCAGTTTGAAATAAATACAAACATGATCAAGGAAACTTGTAGGAAGTAAACATTATTATACAAGTATAAATAATCTAATATCTTAACTTTCTAATAATAAAAGAATCATTATTTCTAAAAATATATTATTATCATACTATATAATTTACCCCTCCCCCCCTAAATCACTCCATCATGCAAATTTTGAGGCATATGATAAAAACATGAAGATCAATTATAAGTGAAAAAGTGAAATTTCGATATGTATTTTTAAAGGGAAAAAGGACAAATATATCCCTGAATTATCGTAAATGGTATGTCAATAACCTCTGTTATACTTTAAGGTTGTATTTACCCTTACCGTCAATATTTTAGGTTATGTATACCCTTGAGACTAATGGCTGGACACGTGGCTGCATCTCAATAATTTACCTAATATTTTTTTATCCGAAAAACCCACCCATCTTCCCTAACCCATCCATAACCCGAATTAAAACCCATCTTCCATAATAATTCCCTTCAAACAGTGCTAATTGTCCATCTTCTTCTCTTCTTTAATTCTCAAAAAATTGTTGCACAAATAAAAAAATTCACTAACATTAGCCATTGTCTTTGTGTTTTAGAGTTCATGGATGATTGCGCACAAAACCATCAAGTTAATTTTGTGATTGGCCGCCGTCACCGCCTTCTTCTCCGAAGTTCACACAAACATTTGAATCATTAGAAATGAGATTTGTGGAGTTTCTCTTGATGAAATGCAATGATTTTTTGTGGGTTGTGTCCGCCTTGGAGAGGCGCCCAACTTGGCATTGACCTCTCTCTGTTAAGACCGCCGGAAAATCGTTGTCGATGACCAATAGTGGTCTGCCGAGTTCGGAACCTAAATAAGCCAGAAAAAGATAAAAATGACCAAAATAAGCCATTATTCTAGTAAGTAACTAAAAAATAGGCTTAGTGGAAGAAAAAATTCCATTTTATGAAATATTCCAAATGTTTTCCGTTAGTTTCATAACGGGTATATTTTAATATATAACGAAACTATTTCTTATATTTTGTAAAGTGGAAGTTTTTCTTACACTTTATAAAGTGGAAGAAAAAATTATGTTTTACGAGGAATATTTTTCACGTTTTGCATTAAATTGTATCTTTTTATGAAGCTTTTGCAATATTTGTCATACAATTATATTGATTTGACATATCATAAAAACGGAAAAAATTATTACATCATGTATTTTTATTTTTTTATTCTGAAAACTTCTCCAAGCTCTATTTAAGGAAAAAATTATTACATTGTGTATCATAAATGTTAACTTGATTTGATCTAATTAGTCGGAACACTCAAAAAGTTGGTCAACGATTCGTCACTATAGACAATTCACTCTCCAAAGTTTACTTGTCCTTGTGACAAAAATAAAGTAGGGTATTTTTCGACTATAATCAAATTATAATCAGTACTATTTATACTCATTCTTTTATAAATTGATGAAAGAAATTTATGATCCACTCTGCACTAAAATAGGCTTAGTGGAAAAAAAATTCGTTTTATGCAATATTCCAAACGTTTTTCGTTAGTAGCATAACGTGTATATTTTAATATATAACGAAACTATTTCTTACACTTTGTAAAGTGGAAGTTTTTCTTACACTTTATAAAGTGGAAGAAAAAATTATGTTTTACAAAGAGGAATATTTTTCATGTTCTCTTTATGAAGACTTTGCAGTGTTTGTCATATAATTATATTGATTTTACATATCATTAAAACAGTAAAATGATTTTACATATCATTAAAACAGTAAAAATTATTACACTATGTATTTTTATTTTTTTATTCTGAAAACTCCTCCAAACTCTATTTAAGGACGTTCAAACATAGTACCTTCAACATCTTTATTCTTCTTCTATTTTTCTTCATTTCAATCACAAAAAAAATGTCTTTTAAACCAAAAGTTAGAGTTTCGATATATTGGGATGGCAAAATTGTACATGACGAAAATATTGCTTATTACAATTGTCTTTCTGACACAATGCCAAATATTTAATTAATGTCCAATATCATAAAAAATTTCATCAATTTATAAAAGAATGGATATAAATAGTACTGATTATAATTTGATTATAGTCAGAAAATATCCTACTTCATTTTTGTCACAAGGACAAATAAATTTTGGAGAGTGAATTATCTATAGTGACGAATCGTTGACCAACTTTTTGAGGGTTCCAAATGACTACATAGATCAAATCAAGTTAACATTTATGATACATAATGTAATAATTTTTTCCTTAAATAGAGCTTGGAAGAGTTTTCAGAATAAAAAAATAAAAATATATAATGTAATAATTTTTCCCATTTTTATGATATGTCAAATCAATATAATTGTATGACAAACACTGTAAAAGATACAATTTAATGCAAAAACGTGAAAAATATTGCTCGTAAAACAGAATATTTTCTTCCACTTTATAAAGTGTAAGAAAAACTTCTACTTTACAAAGTGTAAGAAAAACTTACACTTTACAAAGTGTAAGAAATAGTTCCGTTATATATTAAAATATACCCGTTATGAGACTAACGGAAAACGTTTGGAATATTTTATAAAACAAATTTTTTTCTTCCATTAAGCCTATTTTAGTTACTTACTAGAATAGTGACTTATTTTGATCACTTTTATCTTTTTGTGGCTTATTTAGGTTCCGAACTCTGGTCTGCCGGAGTTCAAGCCGTTTGAATGAACCGAAATTTCTTGATGTAGAAGATAAAAGGGTGGAGAATAAACCCCAAAGATCAAAACTTCACGAACTTGTCAAGAAATTGGCCGAAATGCCTTGCGACGGTGCATCGCCAAAAATTCTCAAAGTTTCTCCATCGTTTTCTTTGTTAAATTGCAAGGGAGAATGAATTGAATTTTTGTGAGGGAGTAGATCTGATGATGCTCCATTATCTCCGTTAAATGGGATTTCATGAATCAAACCACCTGAATTTGTTATTGTTGGAAAGGTTTTGAATTTGATTTCGTAGCTTTGTTCATATATATTCGAACTATGTCTTTCTTCTTCTTCTTTTTTGATTCACTCATCAGTGACATATTGATTTAATCCTTTTTCTAAAACAAAAGAAAAGAAGTAAAATATCATGTAATGAGAGTGTATCAGGCTTGGCACTGTAAGGATCAAGGGGTATTTCTTAATTTAAGTTAGGATTGGAATTTCCAGACATGTGAGTAGTGCAGACCTCGTGCTCATGTTCATCATCGTATTAATTGTCCTGGTGCTCCATCTTCTCTCTCTAACTGTTTTATAACACAAGTGTTCCCTCGCGGTGGAGTAGGGTCGGAGACGGCGGTTATTCGAACTATTTCAAAAAAGGTTTCGGGTGGGTTTAAAATAGAAATGGGGCGGGTTATTTTTTTTAATTTTGGGTAAAAAATAATTAAAAAATTGGGTCAATCGTTGAGATGAAGCCACGTGTTCAACCGTTAGTGGCAAAGGTATACACAACCCAAAATATTAATAGTAATGGTATATACAACCTTAAAGTATAACGAAGGGTATTGACATACCATTTATTATAGTTCGGGGGCATATTTGTCCTTTTTAAAAAGAAATGTTACGTAATACATAACCACCCTAACAGTGATACCAAATAGTAAATATGTGATACTACAACTTGTTATTTGAGTTACTCTCTATCTTCTTATTTTTATAGATTAAAAAACTATTAAACAATGTTAACTAAAGTATTTAAGACATAATTTGTGTAAGATCTGTTAGGCGAGCTCTAGGCGTTGGATGTGCTTAGGACGTATAATCGGGCGCTTAGGATATAAGTCTTACAGAACTAAGCTTCACACTTGAGTCTTGAAGTGTTTTGCTAGAGCCCTCGCCTCGAGGCTATCCCCGATACGAGTCTCAACAAAGTCTTTTAATATTCCCTCCGTCCCATTTTATGTGACACCATTTCCTTTTTGGTCAGTCCCAAAATAAATGTCACATTTCCTAATATGGTAAGTATTTAAAGGTACAATTCCTCTTTTACCCTTGTTGGTCCCATTTAATCTTAAAATAATACTCCAATACATTTATGGGGAAAGAGAAAAGTGAGTCTACTTTTTAAAGGGCAATTTGGTAAATATTTCAAAGTCTTCATTTATTTCTTAAACTCCGTGCATGATCAAATGTTGCCATATAAAATGGGACGGAGGGAGTATGAACTAAAGTGAAGAGGTACAACTTAATAAGAAAATCATTTATTTTAAAAAGAAATAATAGGGTAAAAGATTCTTACTAGAAAAGATGAGTATAGTGGTAAAATTAATTTACTCCTAGCTCCCAAGTTAGTTGAGAACTTGAGATTAGTTCATTAGTTACTACTTTTGAGGATAATAACTATTTTCATCATTTTGTTTACCCTTCTTTTCAAGAATTCGATTGAAAGTGAGAAGTATTCACTATCCGAACAAGGCCTTGCTATTTACATCTCATAAGTTAACTTATACATCATTGATTAGGCCTTGTAAATACTATTTATGCAAATAAATTTGCAATCAACTATGTCAAACACATATCATATGTAACATTTACAAAATATCTATCGTGCCCAAAAATATCATCATCCAATTTGGGAACAAAAAAAATGATGTTACAAAGTACAAACTCCTCAAGATCACCAGAACTTTCCAAACAAAATATCTCAGCTCACAAAAACTAAAATATCTTCTTATATTTATCTCAGCTCACAAAAACTAAAATATCTTCTTATATTTATCAAACCACATTTCTTCCGGAACCTTCTTGAAGCTTTATTGTTTATTCCCTAGAACCCAATGGAACCTTTTTCCACCTCATAGATATATTTATCCATCCATGTGGCTGCTGATTTTCTTGACAAACAAAGTTCTATTGGACCCCACTTCATAACCGACCTTCAAAGTTCTTTCTTTATATACATGTTTTCCTTAACACTCTTTTCATGTCACAGGTTCTTGATTTTGAGATTTTATAAAAAGGGGTTGTTAAAGATTTGATCTTTTTGACAAAATATTGAAATTGGAAGATACCCTTTTGCTTATTTGTTGTTATTTGAGGGGAATTTGGTGATTTTATAAAAAGGGGTTGTTAAAGATTTGATTTTTTTTGAAGAAATATTGAAATTGGAGGACACCCTTTTGCTTATTTGTTGTTATTTTGTGGGAATTTGGTGATTTTAGAAAAAGGGGTTGTTAAAAGTTTTGATATTTTTGAAGAAATATTGAAATTAGAGGATACCCTTTTGGTTATTTGGTGAATGGAGATGGAGATGGAGTTTAAAGAAAGGTTGCCTTCATATTATAGTGTACTTGGTGTAAATGTTGATTCTTCTGATGAAGAAATTAGACGTGCCTATAGAAAGCTAGCAATGGTATGGTGATGAAGAAAAGTTTGTGTTTTTTTGTTGTTATGAGAGTAGTTTGATTTTGGTTGTTAATGGAAAATGGTGATTTTTTTGGTTGCAGCAATGGCACCCTGATAAATGGACTAGGACACCATCATTGTTAGGTGAAGCTAAGAGGAAGTTTCAGCAAATTCAAGAAGCTTATTCAGGTAATAAAGTTGCTATCTTTTTCAATTTCATTTTTGGGGGTCGAGGATTAAGTTAGAAGGTTAGTTGGTGGTTAAGCGTTGTCGAGTTTCCTATTGGCATTTCTAATGTGTATTTTTGATGTTTCAATAGTGTTGTCGGATCGAAAGAAGAGAATGATGTATGATGCTGGCATGTATGATCCTGAAGATGATGATGATGAGGTATGCTTTGTTTTTTTTTTTTTTTTTGTTTTCACCTTAATTTAGTATAAATGATGGTGAAGTTCATTTGATTTGTTTATTTTCAAGTATTCATTGCTTAATTCACTTGTTTTATTGCAGGGATTTGCTGATTTTCTACAAGAAATGGTATCTCTAATGGAAGATTCAAGGAAAGAGGTATTGTCTTCATGTAAACTCGTGTTATGACCTTCTTGTGATGGAAAAATATATGGTGTTGTTTTAACTTGTATGCATCGATAATGTAAAGATCACAGTTTTGTGTCGTGGAATTAGTCATTGATGCTTGCGTGTATATATATTGGGGTGCAGTCCTTTCTTGAATCCTGCTTAAACGTGGGATGCTTTGTGTACTAGGCCTCACTCATAATATGTTATGAATTGCATTTTATCTTGGATGAGAACCATATTTTAATCAATTAATTAAAATGAATAAGTGGTTTAGTGTTTCCTGTACTTAATTAAAATTAATTATCTTAACTTACTTACTTATCATAGGCTTGAGTCAACCTAGGCCCAATTTTTCGTTCTTTTGTGGTTTTTTTTATAGCGTTTGAACTAAAGTTACTAGATTCTATCGAGCTTATTTCTGATTTGATATTTTTTCATTGCGAATTGTTGAAAACAGGAGAAAAGTTACAGTATGGATGAGTTGCGAAGCATGTTTTGGGAGATGGCTCAAGGGTTTGAGACTTGTAATTGGTCTAGCTTTTCTCAACAAACTCAGAACTTTGAGTCTCCGCAATGGTTTTGTGGTAGTTCTATGGCTTATGATGGCTCCAGAACATCTCAGTTGAACGCGAATTTCGCAGACACAAATCCCTTCTTCGGTTTCTCAACAATGCAGATGCAAGGGGCTAATCGTTTCTGCAGATAAAAATAATGAAGGTTCTTCAAGAAAGTAGTTTATATGCAAAGTTTTCACTTTTCAGTGTTTTTTTGCATCTTTAGAATGTCGAGTGTAGCAAATGTTCATATAGAAGTGCTACGAATTTTGGCGGCATTTTTTGGTTTTGAACTTCAACAAGAATATGTGAATCCTCAGTTTTCTTTTGTAAATATAAGTGGAATGGAACTTTTTTTTAGTGTTGTCACTTTGGATGAGATTGTGGAAAAATCTTATGCTTGAAATATCTTGATTTTGTTTAGTGTACTCCTATCTATGTGTCTATCCCAACAATTAGGCAATATTTTAAGTATCGAAAAGGGATTCCTATATCGAAGTCATAGGAAATATTTCAAGTATTAAAAAAGGTGAGTTATATCAGAGTCATTATGTTCGAATTGGGTCTAATAGCTCTATTAGAGTCATTATAACCGAGTTGGGTTGAGTCCATATAACCAAGTTGGGTCGAGTTGGGTCTAATAGCTCTATCAGAGTCGTTTTAGGCTTTTAGCCGAGTTGGGTCTCTATATCAGAGTCAATATAGCCAAGTTGGGTCGGATAGTTTCTCATTTGTTGTGGCTTGATGGTTCATTTTCTTATAGTCAAGTGGTTTTTCTATGAGCGTCTTCTTATAGTCAAGTGGTTTTTCTATGAGCGTCTATAAGTCGTTCTGATGGACCTCTTTCCGCCTGTTCATTTGAGTACATTAAGCTCCATTACCCCTAAAGGCAACATGAAAAGCACCTATCTAGTGGGCTAGTAGAGCAGGCCCAGAACTATTTTTCTGGTCAACACCAGGAAAATTCAGTGAAGATGGGCCATTACATAAAGCCCATAAAGACTTTCCTTCATGTGATGGGCCCAATTGTTATAGCCCAATCTATATGTGTTGCCAGGACATTTTGGCCCAAATAATTTCCACACACAAATTCAATTAGTACATTATAGAATATTGTATTGTCCTTTCTTGATTTTGAAGGGTTAATATTGAAGTGTATGATTATTTCGTCAATTGTTATAATTTATAAATGTTTAATTATATTATATCCTAACATATCCCTTGATGTGGTTAGTGTGGTTCTCTTTTACATTTTTTGAGTATCGATGATATTTGAACTCGGAATCATTTTCGCTTACTCTAATATTGCTTCATATATTAGCTCATAAGGTGAAAATAGCGTGAAATTGTATAGAAATTTATTGTGTACAATGAACATGCCTTCCATTTTGTTAGACTAGTGTATTCTAGTTGACTATAATGGTTTCAAAGTTGTCAACAAAAGCAACACGTTTCCTTCATACTTGAATTTACTAGACCTAATACACGGCCCAACCTAAACCAATTTTCAACTCAAGTTTCACAAGATATGTATGTACATATCTTTTCGGATGTATGAATTTCTATAACGATCTCAAAAGTTGTCAGGTTTCCATAAACAAGTCTTTACCTTTATCAGCGTACGCATAAATCGACAATAGTCTTTACTTATTTTCCTCCTTTTCTCATCTATACAAGATTTATGGTCAATTTCTTGATTCCAATAATAGTAAAAATAAAAAAGAATAAAATATTATTCCCTTTAAATTGCAAGAATTTCCTACTTTTGAGTAGGATTGGGAAAGGAAATTAAAGTCTTCACATGCACCAAAGCATATTATAACCTTCACTTTGACTTTTCAAAATCCAAAATCATCATTTATAATCAAATTCAACTAACCAAAATACTCCAATTTTTCAATGTTTATGTTTAATAATTAGGATTACCACTTTTCCACACACAAGATACTAGACCAAAGTACTAAATACCTAAAAAGGTACAATTATTGAAAGCATACATACTTCATAGATGTACAAAGTATGTTGAATTATAATTAATTAAAACAAAATAATTGGTATTAGAATTAAATCAACTCCAATAAGATTAAAAGAATAGAGAGAGAGTCCAATGGTGGGGACATAAATTGGACCATCCACTTGCATATGTAAATTGTCATCTTGATTAAGCCAATAAATAACATACATACAAGAGACACCTCATCATCAAACTCTTTTGTTTCTCTTAATCTAAGACCCTCCCACTCCCTAGAGGAGTTGCTCGGACAGTAACCATTCTTCATTTTCAATCTGAAGGTTGTGAGTTTGAGTTATCAACGAAGGATTAAAAAAAAAAGGACCTCCTTAGACTCCCCTCCCCACCCCACCCCACCCCACCCCACCCAAAAGAAAAAAGCTCAAAACCAACAACTTAAATTCCTTTCTCTTAGCTTGCAACTTCCATGCAATATTCTCAAGAAGTGTATAAAAAACAAACTCTCTCATTTCTCCAAAACACTTTCCTTTCTTTCCCTTTCATTTCTCACTAGTTAACATACTATTGCTGTCACATACACTCATAAAAAATACTTTTTCTTCTAAGGAAGAAGAAGAAGAAGAAATTCACACTTCTATCAAGAACTCAAAGGTTTTCACCAGCAAATCTCTGACACATGTCGCGATTTGTATTTTTTCTCTTATTTTTTGTGGTGGCTACACCTATAACCAATGGACTAAATCCACGAAAACTCGATGAGGGTGAAAATAAATGTGGAGGTTGTCCTTGTAACAAACCTTGTATTCCACCTTCTCCTCCACCACCACCACCGTCACCACCACCACCATCACCACCACCGCCAAAGAAACCACCAAGTGGCTATGACTGCCCTCCTCCTCCTTATTCCGGTGGCGGCGGTGGTGGTGGTGAAAATACTCCCTATCCTCCAAATTCACAATACATATATATGACTGGTCCACCAGGGAATTTGTACCCCGTTAACAATGATTTTGGTGGTGCAAAAAGGAGCTTTTCTAGTGGATTTCCACTTTTGATTGGTGGATTTTTCTTGGGATTGTTTTATTTTTTGTGAAATCCAAGATCAAATCAAGTAAGAATAAGAACAAGAAGCAGCAAATTTCAGAGATCAATAATGTTAGTGGCTATGAATATTCTATATGTATAAGGTAATTGGTCCTAAATAATTGGCTGTAATCTTGATATGTTATTCATGTGTTTCATAACCTTATAGTTTTTCTTCCACTTTTTTTGTAAAATCAAATTGTCAATCCTTAATCAAGAGATATGTTATCATCTGTTCATATTTATATTCTACTCCATCCGTTTATTTTTACTTGTCATTGTTTCACTTAGTACACCTATTAAGAAAATAATTATTGATATAGGTATTTTATCGTACTATCCCTATTTAATATTGTTTAGTATAAGGTCTTGGAAAATGATTTGGAGAATAAGTATTTAATGCTGATGATAAAACATGAAGAAAAAAAAATATTTTTATGTCAAAAGTGAACGGAGTGAGTATTTTCTCCAGGTACTTTTCTTCTTTGTGAATATCATCTCCTTATGGTAGGATTAATTAAAATAAAGAAAAAAAATGGATTTCAACTTTCAAATAGAAGAATTTAGTAGTCCTCAAATTCAGTGATGAATTTAGTGTCTATTTTTAAAAATAACTTTATGAAATGTCAAGTGCAATAATTAGAAAAGTCTTTGTTTTTGGCTCCTTTTGTGGTCCACTAAATTGTTAGGCTGTGATAAGCAATTGTCATGGCGTATGAGCGTGGCAACATCAACTTGATATAATGACGTTGTTCGGATCTATTTATATGCATTTAACTATTTTTCTAATTATTAGTAACATTATTAGTATGGTGACGGGTTATTTTCGTTATTTTATATATTAACTATCACTTACTTCGTTTGATCGTTAGATTACACCCTTGAGTGTTTACTACTTAATTATCTTGATAATTAGTTAAAAACTGTTTAATGAAAAAAATTGTGAAAAACAAATGTATAATTAACACCACCGACTAAACCATAAAGAAGATATAATAATTAATTTATTGCGATATGGACAGACCACTAAATTATATTGGGTACGACACGTTTAATTAATTTGTCGATTTAGACAGAAAACTGTATAGCGGATTTTGTGTAAATCATTAATCAAGTGCAACTATACTAGTATATATCCTAATATTAATACTAATTTTTTTTAATATCCCTCATCCCATAATAAGATAAATTTCATCAATGACTTAATTAACAAGAAATCATTTACTTTTGATATGACTACATTTTGATGTGGTAAACTCAACGATAGCCACTAAGACTAAACCATTATTATGCTCGTGACGGGACTTAAACCAATGACTTACGACATGAGCTGATAATAATCATAATAGTGAAAATTCTCTTATTCTTTGCTCAAAAACTTAATTGATGGTTGGTTATATTTATTTCACGAGAAACAATATAGACGTAAATAATATCATCCTAGCTTCGTCAATTAGAAGTAACAAACGTTCAATAAAATAGTTGAAGGGCAATCAAATTAATCTAGACACTTCCAATTTTATAAGAAATTCTTTTGTGGGGGTTATTTTGTTGTTTTTTTTTTTGGAAAAAAATATGAATAAGAAGGCCCTAATAGTTTTACCATGAAGATTTTATATGTCAGAATTTGTTGTCAGAAATGAAAAGTACTAAGTGGGGGAAATGAAATCAACTTTGGTTTCACAAACTCTAGAATCCACTTTATATCTCCTATTATTAAATTCCATGGTCCCAAAAGCTACAATAAGCTTATATTGAAGCTTCAATTTTAGCACAATGTGTTAGTTAGGTGGCTATCATTCAATGAATCTTGTGACTTGATAGAGTTGAATATGTCCACTTGTATGACTATAATTTTCCACTTTAGTAGCTTATAACTAACCCATGTGCTGTTGTTTGGTTTAAGTTTTAACTTTCATAAGGAGAATGTTTTTTTCTAGCCATGGTATCATTGGAAAGTTTTTTATTTATTTTAAATTTCTGATTAATATGAATGTACGTTTAGAGAATTATTAAAAAGAAAGTGATTATTATTAAAATAATTTTATTTTTAAGATTTGAATCTTATCAACAATTATTCATAATGTTATAGTTAGTTTCTTGTGCTTTCTAATCGTGCAATTATTACTTTAGTAGAGATTAGATTTATACCCTATATTAAATCAAGGGAAAACGCAATGAAAATTGTCCGTATAAGCTTTAGGGACTTACAAAAATTTCACACATATTACTTAGATGCACTTTAATATACAATATTACGAATCTTACTAGATTTTAGTGCGTTCATATACATCTACATACATGAATCTCGGGATATGTGAGGTCAAAATTAAGTGTAATTTATTTTAGATACACTATATCAAAATGGATTCGCATGTATCTAAGATAAATAGGCAAATCTCCCATCTCCCTCACCTCCCTCCCATCTCGCTCGCCATTCTCCCGTGGTATCTCAGGTACATCTATATGATTCACACCTGATACATATAAATACATGTATCAAGTGTGTATCTAGTGTTTCACATATATCTGGAATACATAACTATCTCGCTCGCCCCTTCCTCATCTCGCTCGTCTCTTTTACTATTTATTATATCTGATAGCAAAATATATATATAGCTAGTAGGTATATCTTCCTTAATATATGATAGAAAACTTTTATTTAATCATAAGAAACATAATTATTTAAAAATATTGATAGAATTAATATATATGATATGGATATGTGTTTAATAAGGTAGTTTTCCCAATACTTTATCTATTCCCACAACGTAACTTGCTTACTCTCTAGAATAACCTCCACTTTAGTGAATTGTGTCAACCAATACGATAAAAACACTCAAATATGAAAGAAAAAAAATAAAGATCAATTTAATAAATTAATAATTTTAAGATGCAAAGGATTTCCTATTATAACGAGTTGTTTAAATACTCTTCAAAAGTAAGTAAACAAATTCAAAACTTACAAAAATGTAACTAATTTCATTATGGCTCAAAGTGTTATTGCGTAATGTCTAATTAAAAATGAAGAAATTATATTATTTATTTAATATATTTGATTATTAACAGCTGAATGGACAGCACAACAGCATGGATAACTACAAGTTTTGATTTGACGTGAAACAAATGGACATATGTAACATGTTAACTCTCCTATCATGTGTCAATTTGTTCCACTCTAGAAGTTGTTGCAATTCTCTGATTTCTCAAGGAAAAAAAAAGAAAAAAAAAAAGGTCCTTTTAATTTATATTTGTAGATTTAAAATAATTTCTTCAATAGATTTTTTTTAAACATTTATGATATCTTAAATTTTGTCAAAGGTGGATATATATATTAATTCTAGCTAAACTGTGGGGAAAAATAGTGCTCCCTTTGTCTTTTTTTTGCGATACCCTTTTTTTTTGGTCTGTTCCAAAAAGAATGTCTTCTTAATATAATTAGAAAAAATTTAACCTTAAAATTCCTCTTTTATCCTTAATGAAATGGTTCTAAGACACACAAATATCTAAGGATTATTTTAGATCATAAATTTTAAAAATCTTTCCTTTTTTTAAACACCGTGTTAAATCGAAGAGTGTCACACAAAATGAGACAGGGGCTAATGAATATAGCAATCTGGTCCCAAAAAATAATCCGATCTTTTTTTCCATTTTTTAGTTAGAAGGAATTAAAGTTAAAAGGATAAAAATGTTTAAAAAGGTAAATATCATATATAAAATATCATTCTGACCAAATTCTGGCCAAATTTTCTGACCAAAAAGATTTTTCCTTATATGTGTACCATAAATAAAGGGGGGAAATACCTAAAGATAAAGGATAAAAGGTAGGGAAAGGGAATAAATTCTTGAAATTTCCAAGGAAACTAAAAGTTTCTATATTATTATTATATATACCAATTTTTTCCTCTCTTTTTTCCATCTAATTTTTTTGTTGGAAAGATCTACTTTTTATTCCCTTTTAGTTGTTTTTTCAAGAAGAATAAAAGTTATAACTTATACTTAATAATACTATACTTTTTAGAAGAAATTTTCCAGCTTGTTGCATAAAGGCTAACACTTTATTATTTTGAATGAGTTGTTGAGGTAGTTGTTTTGTCTGCAGCACAAAAAAAATAAAAATTAACCATTATGAAAAAAGTGTTGTAACTTTAATTTGGAATTGTAAAGCTTGTGTTTCCATATTTCTATTTAATAGCTTTTCTTTTTCTAATCATTTGGTATGGGAGGTGGCAACTATTTTGTGGAATAATAAATGTTATAGGTGGAGTTATATTATTGATATTTTTTTGTTAAAGAATTATATTGTATGACTAGATTAAAAAATGTGTATATAAAATATATGACTCTGATTGACTTTTTTATGGGTTTAGTACTCTAAATATTTCATGCGTTGGAATATCTCATGAGAATTGTGTTGTTTCACCTTTTATATGAAACGGTAATTCCTTTCCACCAAATTAGTTTAAATTGTCACATAAATTAATTTCAAAATTAGCTAATATCTCAAATTCAACATGAATTAAAGTTAATCTCAAATTTAATTCTGAAGTTATTATCTTTGTCCAACATACTAACAAGAGAGGGGTATTGAAAACACTCCTGAACTTGAAGGAAATTATTAGTTTCGTCCACGAAATATTAATAGCATTAAAAACACTCATCTACTTGACCAACTAAACTTAGATACACCCCCAATCTGCCACATGACATAGCAAGTGGTCTCAAAATGGAACTTTTAATAAAAAGTCGAGAAAAGTATTGACAACACCTTAAACTTGACGAGCATTTAGGGGTTTACTTCAATCATGTTGTAAGATTGAGGATGTATATTTTAAGTCCAGTTAGTTAAATAAATGACATTTTAAAGATAAATAATCCAAAAATAAAATTAATAATTCACGTCAAATTTAGAGATATTTTCATTAATTCTCCCTATTAATAACAACTCTCATGATAACTATTATATTAATTTGTAATAGGTTAATTGGATAAGACAGATGAATCATCATCCTAGTGATAAGAGAATAATAAAAAAGATGAAAAGACAACTCATCAAACAATATTGAACTTGTAATGTGCTTTATGCTAATTGGTAGTTACAAACTTACAATATAATAAATTAATAAAATTAAACTTGAAAGTTTTTGGACATATATTTTGAGTTTATATTCCTTTAAAGAACTTCATGGTGTCTTCCTTTTTCGTTTTGGCCCACACATCTCCATCATTAGGGCATCTCTCATCT